GATGAAGTTAGAAGCGACCAAACACATCCACGTTTTCTCTATTTAAATATAGTTACACGAGTAGTTACACGACCAAGTATGGTGACACTAAATAAAATGTGGCGCTTTTTATAAGCGGGTAAAATGGATAACTATAATGTATGGCGGAATAGCACTTATTGGGAGCACTTCGACTCGGCGCTGTAATATCTTCACTCGTGAAAAGTCCTCTCCCCCTCTCTGTCATTACCGTCAATAGAACCAACGTGACCTGCACGCCTGCAGCAGTAGTTTTTTGTGCAGAGTTGACGGAGGGAGAGGGATAGGGGGGAGAGGACTTTTCACGAGTGAAGATATTACAGCGCCGAGTCGAAGTGCTCCCAATAAGTGCTATTCCGCCATACATTATAGTTATCCATTTTACCCGCTTATAAAAAGCGCCACATTTTATTTAGTGTCACCATAGTTGGTCGTGTAACTACTCGTGTAACTATATTTAAAAAGAGAAAACGTGGATGTGTTTGGTCGCTTCTAACTTCATCTCTGTTTGGCCCATATGCAGGGACGTGCACAGGAATTTTGTGGGGCAGTTGCTCTGACCTGAAAAAAGGGCACTACCCCCAAAACTCACGGGCTATATGAAGGAATATATTCAGTTGAATTTTGCCCATACAAATTGCCTTATCTGATCGTGTGTATGTCCAAACGCAATGCATCATATTATGGTCTTGTTATTATTTATAAAGATTGCAAACGTCAAAGATGAGGTTTATGATATACAACTTTGTAAACAGTATACAAAATGTATTAACAATATGTTAAATGTCACCAAAATACACATGAGAAAAAGAGTTCCTCATATTATTGTTTTTTGTTTTTTAATTATTATTATTATTTTTTTTAAATAAATAATCTGGATTGAATTGACAGATGGGAAAAAACTCGCTTCTAATAAAAATAAAAAAAACGCTTAGATTTCGGAAAAAATACACAAAAAAATTTAACCTTTTGGCTTCCCGTATATTCAATTGTGCTTTTTGCTCATCTGGGCAACTACGCATGAGTTGTAGTATGATTGCGTAAAGGGAACAGGAATTCCGCTAAGGAACAGAATCGACTGCTACACCCAGTGCCGATCCTGACCTCCCTGGGGCCCTAAGCACAATTCTGCTAAGGGGCCCTCTACCTGACCTGTGATGTCGTGAGCTATGTAAACCATTTGCCATTGCCACAGTCACACCTGACACTTCAGCGCTCCCATACAATCCTCCCTCCTTTAAACAAAACAGTCAAAGAATAAGTACAACAATATAGAACAGAATGAGGTTCAAACACACAATATTTATTGAATAGAGTAGGCTATTTTCTATAGAATGTTAAGATAATAAGTGAATATTATTAAGTAAGTGAATATTAACATAAACATAAATAAGAAGAAAATAATAAATTATAACCCTGAGCTTTGCCTTTTGGGATTAACTTTGGTTCTTTCTACAGCCTGGGCATTTTCGGCATCAGTATGATTTTTTAATTTTTTATTATGCATGTTGAAGCAATTCTTGATTTATGGTTATTATTTACTGAGGGATGTGCATCCATTTTGACCAGTATGTCCAGCTAATCAACATTTTTAATTCAATATAGCCTATAAATCAATAGTCAATCAATGTCAAATTGTCAATACATTGCTTTCTATCTTGCATAATTAGTGCAGTTGTTTAGAGTTTTTAACTACACTGAGACTAGATAATCAGTGTCTTGTTTTATAATGTGTACTTTGATTGGGAGTGCCATCATCCACGTGCATGTATTGTACCGTATGTCTGGTCTCCACATATTTCTGCTTGAAAAATGCGAGTTTCATTTCGGCAACGCGCATATGAACGCACGATAACACACGCGACGCGGTTATGTTTTCCGAGCTGCAGTAAACAAACACCGTTGCACTTTGTCGTTTATCAAAATCAAACGTAATAAATAATTGTATTTTACTCTCACTTTTGTCAGCCACAAAGTGATGCAAGAGATGCACTGCCTGCCCAGCTAGGTTAGCAAGACCGAAAAACATCAAACTTTGCTGACATCAAACTTAGAGAGGAGAGAACACAAGTTTACTTGATTGTTGTTCCCGCAATTCACTCTCATGGTTTTTTCTTCTTCCTCTTTTCGTGACCAGAAGGATAGTTTCGCTTCATTTTGTCGTAGATGTTGTAGCTACACAGCTGACGGCGCGATATGACTATGACACGAGATGGAGGCGTGGCCTTAAGTAATTTGCAGCGTTTGCCCTTCATACTGACTCACTTTCGGTGCCCGAATGGAAGTGAATGAGGCTTTGGGATTTTTTTTTTTATCTAGGCCTACGTGAAATTCTGCATCCATTGTACGATTAAATTTTTTTCTCGGAAGGGCAACTTGAGTGAGAAGGGCAACTTGAGTGAGAAGGGCATATGGGCAGTTGCCCGGGCAACCTGAGCAACCCCCCTGTGCATGTCCCTGCCCATATGCAATGAATGGGGCTAAGCTAACTGCTCTCAAAGTTCTCCGCCCGACAGAGCGATTAAGTGCACGCACTGAGATGAGAGAAGTATGTATCAACTCGTCTTAGATAAGAGAATAACATAGTTTAATATGAAAAAACGGTGGAGTATCCCTCTAAGATCGTATCGGGCAAAAAAAAAAATCCTATCGGTGCATCCCTAGTAATACTTGTGAACTTTATGCAGTTATATGGCAGTGTACTCTAAAACCATTAAACTTTTACACAAATCCTCACCCTCAGAAGGATGCTCAAAGCCACAGTCGACGATCGCTCGGAGCAACTCTGGTTTCAGCAGGAAATCGCGGAAGCCAGAGCTGTGAATGGAGACGTACGAGCCTTTCACCTCCTTCTTGCCGGCTGGGACGACACTGTCCACGGCGGTCTGCGGCTCCTCGTCTTCCTCGTAGTCCAACAGCTCATTATCAACATCGTTTTCGGCCATGGTAACTTTGGGAACAACGAGAGGGAACGTAGAGATGTAAATAACACGGTTATGCCAACTATACAGATCAACACTTGCTCGAAAAAATGCTGCTCACAGTTTTTAAGAAGCCTAACGTTAAGCTAATGAATGGATATATTATGGCATAATCCTGCTCATCGAAACTATCACTTATATTGTTCTTTTTTCATCAGTTGTACCTACACAAGGTTAAAGCTGAAACGGTTAATCGTGATACAAGTTGCTATACACGTTTAACCTGCTCCAATTTAAGTTAGCTAACGTTAGCCGATTTACTGCCTGTCGCTCAGCGTGTAACGTTAGACAATAGAGCCGCCATTCGCGGTCGCACCTAAACCGATCTTCTCATCTAAACCAGCGACACAATCCAAATTTTTCAAAAGTATGTAGAATATCCATGACTATAATTTTTTTGATACATGGAAAGCCATGAAATACGAAACGGTTTAGACGCAAAAGGGTTTCGTGTTCGCGTTTAGGCTTTGAGCCTTGCAGGCTGCACCGCTAGAGAAACGCGAGGTAACTTTATCTACAGCTGTCCGTTTAGATAACTTACTTAGATTTGCTTTAAAACTTCTCTGTAAATAAGGTTGAATCCGGAAGTAAATTAGCATGAATTATCCCGCGTTTAACATTAAGGTTAGTAAATGTAAAAGAAAAAAACATAAATTACCTTTCGACGTCGGCTCTCAGGAATGGTGTGGTTAGGCCTTAAGTTTATAGCGCTTCCCGGATATAGAAACCGAGCTCTCCCATTGGCTGTATTCTACGTCAATGATAGTTGAGAAGAAGCGCATACGTGCGATTGGGTAACACAAATATGCGTCGGTGTTGTGGGCGGGTTCAAAAACCAGTCGCCGACTCGCCAGCCGTCATACTCTAAAATGGCCACACGATGTCACTATATGTATTCTGATTTTTGGCCTTCAATGACAAACGTTTATGGTATATAAACAGTGCGAACTAAAACTCGAAGACCTCATTAAAAAATTTATGTTATACCCTTAAAACGGTTTTGGCATTTAAAAACCGAAAAAAGACAACTTTATAAAAATAAAATAAAAATAGTTTTGTTTATACAACACTAAAGCCAGAGTAAACAAAGCTTTGTTGTCATAAATGTCAGATTTTCAATAGTATCAAGGCATTAAAATAGACAATACAGAAAATAAATGGCTGCCTAATTTGGAAACAAATAAAACATAAAACAATATAGTTATGGAATTAATTTATACATAAATTATGGATTATATAAATAAAAAAATAATTATTCAAATATAAATGCCTACTATCCCCCATGTAAATATTGACACTGACTGAACTCAGGTTAAATTTCCTTTGAATTCTCTGTCTGTGACATTCTGAAATTCTGAAACATTTTTATTTTATTTTTTATGAAAATGCAAAACATAAACATTTTCGCGAGTGATTTCACAATAGTGTACAACCATGTAGAATTCTCTATAGAACTAGATCTGTTCACTTAACAAAGAGAAGAGCGGATCATTAATAAACCTTCAAATATTACATTTACTAAATTTTTGGAAGTAAAAAGAATAGGCCTCTAGATTTATTTATTTTTATGCTATTTTGTATATGATTTATGTGACATTATAGTAGTTATTATCGTACAAAAATAACGTGGCTCATCTTTAGAAGATAATAAACCGGACAAAACTGTCTGAACAGTTACACCAATCAACACCGCAACATCACCTGCCCGCTACCCACTGTGGCTGAGGTTAAGAACAATAAAGGATTGGTGGGATTTGCTGTCAATCATGGCTATTCCAGTTTAGTCTATCCTCCTATTGGTCAAACGTTTGTCAATCGCATGAGATCCGCTGACGTTAGAACATTGCACTATGGTTCTTTTTGAACGAGACTGTGAAATAAACGGAAAACAAATGCGCATTATGGATTGGTTCTCATCGAGTATTCATTGTAATAAGATAGATTATGATTCCCAGCATTTTTATTAAATCACGGCAGAGGTAGTAGGCGGGACCTGGGCGGGGTTTTCTCTTGTAGGCGTCGACCGCAGCTCTCCTTGAGGAAGCTCGCCCTGACGACTCATATTTTCCTCTAGATGAGCATCCACATCCAATAAATCCAATATGGTGCCCTATTCATTTCCTGCCTTGCCGTAGTGGTCCAACGGCTTCGTACAAGAAAGGATTGCCGATATCTGCCGGTTTTGTGACCGATCATCTTTAATATGGCAAGATCGCCGGAGCAGCTTCAGTAATGAGACCGAAATTCAGGTGGGCATTGCTCTATGCATTTTCCATCAATGACAGTGTGTGGTGGCTGGTTTATTATGTGTGCACTCATCCATTGGTATACGAGCTTTATTTCAAAAAGGTTAATCGGGGTGATATGACATAGAGAGGTAGTCTAGGGAAAAGCGGGGAAATTCCAGCGCATCACACTCGTGCTCCCATCTCTGGACCAGCAGCGCTGGTTTGCCTGCCTGCCCATCTGCTAGTTGCCATGGGGGGAAAAAATCTTCATCCACACCCCTTATTATCGTACACGGAAGCAAATGTGATTGTGACCTAATTTAATAGCTAGTCATAAAAATACACATTGCGTTTAAGTAGCCTATTGTGCTTTGAATTCAGTGCAGCTATTCTCCATTGCAAAGGCGCTTGCATTTAATGTCAATAACGCTGCACAATCAGAACGGTCATATCACCAAAAATCCCTTCGCAATTGCAAATATAATGTGTTACTAATCCATTGCACACCTATAGAACTGGCATCCCCCCTAGTGGTGCATTTGCATGCGGTTTTGCTGAGTCCGGTCTACAGGCTTATTGTAGTTGCCTGTAACAGTCGTTGACCAGATCGGCTATGGCTGTTTTAAGCCTATCTTCTTGAAAGACCTGAAGAGCTTGTTATATTTTATATATAGCGATGTGAAGCGTAAACATGCATCATGGCTGTCATGCACATTTCATTTTTGTCATTGACATTTAGACATTTTGGTCAAACCAAAGGAAAATATGCCTTGGTGAGCTGTTATGTTCTCTTATTTTGGTTTGTCAGAGTTTAAGAGATTAATTGTCTAGCTCTTCCTAATGATTAAGGGCAGTCTGATTACATGTTTTGGTAGGGAGGAGGAGAGTTTACTTGTTTGAGTCGGTATTTAATGAATAGACTGTGATTGTGCTACCAGCGAAGGGAAAAAAAGGTTTTGGGGATCTCATCTCATGTTGTTTTTGTAATTTTCTTTTTAATTCATGATTATATAATTGTGAAAAATGTCATTGCAAATGGTTAAATTTGATTGCTTAACAAGTATTGGGATCATGTGACATCATATCATGCTTTATTTGAGTCATTAACAACGTCACTAAAATCTGTGTGAGCAAAATTTCTTAACCATTGTAACCATTACATTTTTTCAAGACCCAGGCCTGATAAGATAATAGTAACCTCATCATCTCAGTCCTCTTCATCAAGGCCGTAACTATGTCTTGATTTTGTTTTGGGTTGTGGAAGGTATAGGTCATATAAAACAGTAAAGCAACTAGAATTTATTGTTAAGGATTTTAAACTATTTGCAAATAATATTCACATATTCACTCTTAAACTTGTGCCTAATGTGATGAAAATGTCTCTGTTTATGTTTCTGGTCTCATCACATTCAATTATGAATTACACGAATCCCATGAATAATAGCCTACTATATTTGATTTAAAGAAAATTGAGTAGGGCAACAGGGCTATTTACCCCGGTGCGCCTTTAGTCCCATTGTACCCTATTACTCTCAGTTGTTACTCAACATTTCTGTCATAAAACAGTTGTCAAATTAAATGTTTAGCTACTTACATCTTACCTTGCACTCTTTCGCCTTTAAAACTAAAGTGTTGTGCTGCGATTCATTCTCGGCTAATCTGTGTGAAAACTAAAGCCAGCCTTCTTTGTTTAACTTTTGATTGATCGCCTCAAGCATTTTGACATTGACAAGCAATTTTAGACTGCTAAGGCAGACCACCCTAAATTTTACTTTTGAAACTGTTGTCATCCTAACAACAAACAAGGCAGTGTGTATGAAGTCTAGAATATCAAGTATTGGAGGGGATACTTGATTTGGCCATATCTAATTATTGCTCAGTGTCTATGGTGGTTACGGCCTTGCTCTTCAATATGTGGTAATCTAGGCATCCGACAGATTGTGTGAACTCTAAAGACATTAGAGAAGATTATGATTTGCTTGGGGTTCCAGCTTAACTCAGTCATGCTGCATCAGTACTCATTTGGTGAAACAGTTACTAGGACTCAGGTTATTGTAGAGATGGTACAGTAAAAAACAAAAACAAATGACTGCACTGGAAATTCATATAATCTCTCCGAGGGTTGACGTATTGGCTGGTTAGCATGGTCCAGTTAGCCACTGTTGTTGGTTGTTGTCAAACTTGTCATTGCTGTGTATTCTGAGGGAATAGGTTTTTTAGCAAGTAACATATAGCTACATTAACCGTTCGTTTACCCAGTCTGCTGGTGTTCTTGTGATGCAGTCAGCAGCATTGTTATGACATTATTGCCTTGCAGCTCCAGAGTAATTAGTTCTATAGCATTTACAATTTGGATGATTGGCACACAAATGTTCTGAATTTAGTGCCCATGAGCAAAAGACTGCAGATTTCAAATCGCATACTTCAACTGGGTCCTGTGCTGGTTTGGAAATGTTAACAGATTTTTCCATGTAACTTAAAACTCTTTGGATCTACTAATGTAAATAAACGGTGGACACATTTTTGTTCTAATGGCTGCACTTGACTCTGTGTTTCTTTGAAATGACATCATGATTTACATACAGTGCTTGATTGGTCATGTGAACTGTGAATGGTAAACTGATATGGTTACTGTTGTGATTTCATCAGGACAAACAAGCCGTTATGTAGTACACATGCCCTAGAGAGCCTGAGAGAAAGGCATTATCCGCCCTCTGCGACCTCTTTTACTCGCCGTATCTCTCTTTTCCTTTCTGTATTTGTGTTGAAGTGTTCTGGCACTGTCACACTTTCTCTTGGTTTACAGCTGCTGGCTAACTTCACGTCATCATTTCAAACAGCACACGAATGTGAAGGCTGGGCTTACCCTGCATGTATTTTGAAGGTTTTGAGTGTGTCTCTGACAGGGAGATGATGACTTCGCTTGAGAGCAGCTGGGGCTCATTGACCATGACGATCATAACGGGCCTGTACCTACGTTTTCCTGTTTCCATCCGCTGCTGCTGTTTGTTGGGTTTTACTTAGTCATACTAATTTGAATTCACTGCAGCTGCACAGCAGATGTCTTATTCTTTTTCTGCCATCTAAATTGTTTATTAACCTCATTTTATTTTCTGTGTCATTCAAAAGTTTTTGTTGTTGTTATGACTGTAGTTGTTGTCATTGTTATGGTAGATTTTATTTTGCCTGATTTAATTTTAATCAAAACCACTTTGGCCCCTGTAGGGCTGATTGATTGTGACAAATATCATAGTCACAGGTAACCACGATTATTTAACATTTGGGGTGGGAGAAAAAAAAAACAATTCTTGATGCATCGCGATTCTCTCTTCAACAATTCGTAATCACACTCGTATTATATTTACATTCACATTTATACATTTTGCAGCTGTTCTGTTATTTCCAAGGCACAAATGAGGAACTTTTTATTGTATTATATTATAAGTTATTGCCCCATCATAACCATTTATTGTCCGGCAAACGCCATATTACTAATTTTTTTGCAATTTAGCTAATAAGGCGGTTGTCATGTGAATTATGAAGTGCTAAAAGAACTTGGTGACTGGGGAGGAAGTTTTAAGTACACTCTGAGTGATCGGCTGATAATCACATTCTATGACTAAATTTGGCCGATCTCACGAACCAATCGCAATTTGATGACGTAAAACCATAAAAATTTGCCTCTGATGCCCATGTAAGCATTATGCAGACGAGGCTTTTGTGCCCCGTTCTACTTTGTAACTTCACAAAACATTAGTGAACCGTAGTAAATCGGCCATCTTTATTTAGACCAGGTTATCTTGAGCCCCCAAACAGCATAACATGATGCGTCTATCGTGATAAAATCCTCACGGAGTGACATGACATGCTGCTTGGCTGAAGCTATAGGACTTCCGGGATCCGATTGGCGTCACGATCATGACGCAGTGTTTTCCAATGTCATTTGAAAGTTCAACCAATTGAAACTGGATCTCGGGAATGATGGAATGATGTATAGAGACTATTCAGACACCGTTTTAAAGCTGAAGTACGCTTGCATTGGATCAATCTTACAGATCGACAGGTCTTGATTTACCGTGTACCCTAGAATGGGATTGCTCAGCTGAAACAACGCTGGAAGATCATCACTCATCAACCAGGATCATATTACTTATATTCTATGTTATTATACACTCACCTAAAGGATTATTAGGAACACCTGTTCAATTTCTCATTAATGCAATTATCTAATCAACCAATCACATGGCAGTTGCTTTAATGCATTTAGGGGTGTGGTCCTGGTCAAGACAATCTCCTGAACTCCAAACTGAATGTCAGAATGGGAAAGAAAGGTGATTTAAGCTATTTTGAGCGTGGCATGGTTGTTGGTGCCAGACGGGCCGGTCTGAGTATTTCACAATCTGCTCAGTTACTGGGATTTTCACGCACAACCATTTCTAGGGTTTACAAAGAATGGTGTGAAAAGGGAAAAACATCCAGTATGCGGCAGTCCTGTGGGCGAAAATGCCTTGTTGATGCTAGAGGTCAGAGGAGAATGGGCCGACTGATTCAAGCTGATAGAAGAGCAACTTTGACTGAAATAACCACTCGTTACTACCGAGGTATGCAGCAAAGCCTTTGTGAAGCCACAACACGCACAACCTTGAGGCGGATGGGCTACAACAGCAGAAGACCCCACCGGGTACCACTCATCTCCACTACAAATAGGAAAAAGAGGCTACAATTTGCAAGAGCTCACCAAAATTGGACAGTTGAAGACTGGAAAAATGTTGCCTGGTCTGATGAGTCTCGATTTCTGTTGAGACATTCAGATGGTAGAGTCAGAATTTGGCGTAAACAGAATGAGAACATGGATCTATCATGCCTTGTTACCACTGTGCAGGCTGGTGGTGGTGGTGTAATGCTGTGGGGGATGTTTTCTTGGCACACTTTAGGCCCCTTAGTGCCAATTGGGCATCGTTTAAATGCCACGGCCTACCTGAGCATTGTTTCTGACCATGTTCATCCCTTTATGGCTACCA